CAACAGCGGTTTGATGCCCAGCCGAGCTGAGCTGCTGCTAAGCTGCCAATAGGTAGCAGGATGGCTCAGCTAAAAAAAAAAAAAAAAAGGATATTTTTGTGTTCCAAATCTGTATTTGCAAGAATTCTCCTTGCTCAGGAATATTAAATATTATGTAGGAATATTACATATTGTGATTAAGAATTTTAAAAATATAACTTTGTTCAATTAGTGACATTTAATTATAATGTCAAATAAATAAATAGTTTAACTACCAATCTTTGTTCTAAAGATGCATTTAATACAATTAATTGAAATACCCCATTCTTTTCAGTGATGCATAAAATGTTCTTTGTTTACTAATAAAATCTATATTCCAAAGAAGAATAAGCTATTTCAAGAAATGAACAGAACATTATTAACTAGCCCCAGTATTTTGCTGTTTTGTTAATTTAAAATAGTGTGTTGAATTTACTACTTTTACATGCATACTCTATCTCAAAAATCATGACCTCTTTAATAGTTTTTTAAGTTACTATGCAACTGAAGCTCTCTTTACTCATTTTTCCTTCTCTTTTTCTTTTTAACATGCTGCAGTAGCTAACATATTATGGAGAGAAGAAGGTACTGAATTATGTTATTTCTTATATTGTGATTACTTTGCTTAATTTTTAGTAGATTTGTTAACTGTCAGAATTAATAACTACCTTATTTGTTTTTATTTTTGATTCAATATTTTATTTGATTATATTTCAACATTTTTGTGTAAACGTCTACCATTAAAAATATTAATACTTCCCTCAACTTGAATCATAATTGACATGTGGTCAGGAAATTAAATTACAATATATTGAAATGCTTTTAAGAATATAAAATTAAGTAAAAAAAAATAAAAGAAACCCTGTAACACATAATTTACATAATGAACCCTCATTAGATTAGGAAAAGAAAAATTATAAAAGCCATTATCTTATCCAGGAAATATAATAAATGATTTAAGAAAATGGATTATAAGCTTGAAGGACCTGGATTCAAATCCACTTTCCACCACTGTATCACCTAAGGCCTTTTTGTGTCATAATTTTCTTATCTCAAAAATAAGGATATTTAAAAACAAATAGAATAAGGCTATTTGTTAATATTCATAGGGTTGTTGTCAAGTCCTTAAATATAGCCCACATTCTATAAACAGCATCTACTGGTATCTACTGTCATTTATTTCTACTGTTGTTATTATTACTTTTTTTACACTTAGTCACAAAGGCTGGGGAAAAGGTGTTTGACCAGGTACTCAAACAGCCCCCCAATTGTGCTTTAATTGAATTCTTAAGAGAAAAAAATGAGCATGTCATAATTATACCCCAGTAAACAATGGTCCAAATTATTGTCTTCACAAGCCACCTTAGACAAACTTCTTCCCCTGTTACACCTTCATAATATGAGATGGAGCCACTGCTACCTGTGAGGGCCATGTCTCATAAGCTTCAAGTAAATTGGGAATTTAGCTATTTCAATTTTGATCTCAATGATCAAGCATACCCCCCTCCACCACACCCATTTTTACTTGGTATTTGTTGATCCTTAAATCTTCTGTATAAGCTCCTTTAAAGGCTGGCTTATTAAAGAAGATCTGGTATAACTATACACTTTCAATGCATTCCACTTAGATACTTCATATCTAAATATACAAATTCAGTCATTATTGAAACTAGCACTGACATATCTGTCAGACAGCATTTCTTTATACTATCTTCCCTCTTGGGAGCAAACAAATATTTCTCTGAGCATTTTAAAAATTGACTTTATTTTATCATTATAATGGAAGGAATATTACTTTAGGAGTCAGTTATCAGTTACTATAGTTCTGGCCGTTCTGGTTAATTGCTGAGAAAATTTAGATGAGTTATTTTACCTTACTGAAACAGATTTCTTAACACAATGCTTAAAATGCAGTTAGAACTCTCCTTGTGAATCTGTGATATGTGAATCTTAAAGTATGTGAAACAACTCTTCCTTATAGTTTGACTATTTTAATAACCACTATGAACATAATTTGTTTATAATAATCATTAATGTGTAATAATAACAATAATAATAATAATATAATATTCTTCAGGCTACTCTCAAAAATATCACAGACCTCTATATAAATTAAGATCCCATTAACATTTATTATTTGAGACCACTTTTATCTATTAAAAATTTATTCTGATAGCTTTGGGAAATGTATACTCATAATAATTATTCTCCATCAATCAATGAGGTTCTTACTCTTCATCACTTTGACAGAGAATATGTCCTTGAGAAATGACAGCTATTTAGTATATTTTGCAGGTAATTTTAAGATATATACAAGAAATATCTTTGGGTAAAATTTTAGAACATTTTTTTCATGTTCAATTTTCAGAGTCCCTTGTTTCTTAGAATAAACAAGATTAAAAATAATATATTTGAGAAAATAATATATGTACTTGATTTAGATTAATATGTCTCTGTAAATTATTTTTATAATGCCACAGTCATTGGCAAGGCATTGCAATAAAAAATGATTGCATGTAATAATGGTAATGGTGGCCAGAGATAATTGACTAGTCTGAGGAATCACTGAATCCCAACTATATACGATTATTTCATAAAAATTAATTAAAATATTAGCTAATGAAAACTTCCTAAACCAATTTGTACATTTTAAATAGGTATAATAACAACTTTGAAATATGCATTTCTCAGATCCATTTTTATTTCCACTCTAGAAGTGTTTTCTGTTTGTATTCTTGCCTCTTTACAATGGCCAAGAAAAATTTATTCCAGAGAGAACCAAGTATAGAATTTAAGGTTAATAATGGAAAGAGTTGAAAATAATTATACCTCTCATTAGTCATTTTACTTATTAGCAAGTGTTAAAATGATAAAATTTTGTTTAACTGAAATTATTTTTTTAAATATGAACATCTGAATCTAGCTTAGTCAAGAGTTTCTAATATATATCAATTTTACTTAATTTAACATGTATGTGTTATTTTATGAATCACACAGATATTCAAGCTTGAGACACAGTGTCCTCTACTTCTCTGGGATCTCTTTTCAATTCTTTTCTAAGTCATCATTATAGTTTACAGGAAGGTAGAAAAACAGTATTAAGAGAGGAAACATCTCCCTCATTTATTAACAAAAAAATTAAACAACCTATTACATGTAAGTCACGTTGAAATCACTAGAAATACAAAGATAAATAAGATCTAAGCTGTGAGACCCCCTCACAGCTTTCAATCTAGTAGGTTAAAGGCTAAATTGTTCTCACTGACAAATATTTCTACTATGTGATTTTAAAATGTTCAGTGATTTTTTTCTTCTACCATCTTTGTATGATCTTGTAATCAAATACAATTTAATAAAGTATTTCCTAATATTTATTTAGCAGACAACTGTTTGGGCTATATATTCCAATTTAATAAGTGTTTTGGGTCACATGAGCACTGAATTAAAGGAATTTAAATTATTTACTCAAGGATTAACCTGAATTTTAAGTATGCAATTTCCAATCTCCAAGAAGAGATATAGGGTGGCTCATTATATAACATGGCATTTTCTAAATTTATTAGAACATGAAATTATTGTAATGAATGTCTATAGGCTCAATATTGAATATGAGCTACTTTGATATGACATCTAATGATTTGAAAGCAAAACATTTTTCTGTATTTATGAAAATTGATTGTCTCTTCTAATTTCTGTATGTATTTATGAATCTATTCACACAAAAATATGTTATAAAAACAGTTAAAGTAAATCACTATATAAGTCAGGCTAATGAACAGCACCCAACACTAGATACAAAGAGAAATTGCAGTGAAATCTTACAACAAAGTTTATATGTTCTATCATAATCTGGTTAGCGTTGTGATCCATAATGTCACCAAAATATGTGGGGGAAAAAGGGATCTGGGAAGCAGGTCAGCTCTTAACTACCTTAGCCTGGCATTATTCACATTTCATTGGCCAGGCTTTTATACACTGTAAGAGAGGTCAGGACATATAGAAGAATCCATGCATACTTAATGAGCTCCATAAACCTGTGGTATAATTATTGTAAGAGAAAGATAATGCTAAGGTCCTTGGGACCAGATTAACACCTCACAATAGTATTGAAATAATGTTTAAAATGAAAAAGGAGAGTTTTCAGAGAAAGACTTCTAAATGCTTGAGACTTAGAAAGTTATAGCATTGGGGGGAGGTGGAGACCCTACCTTCTGTTGGCTACTACGTGATGCCAATGACACTGTGATTAAGCTCTTAATATTTTCACTGGTGGTCACTACCTTCTCTGTTAGAAACTAATGTCAACCTAAGCTTTTAGTGTTATAAATTACCTCGTAAAAAGTTTTTCAAATAATAAAAATGATCTAGCAAGAGATGTCCATTTGCATATGCAGGTATTTGTATATGCATATACACATGTTGTACACATACATACATAAGTGTGTGTGCATATACGGAGAGTGCCAAAAAAATGTATACACATTTTAAGAGATGGTCAACGTTGCTCAAGCAGTAGTTCGCCATAATCAGAAGTGTCTGGACGCTGATGGTAACCATGTTGAGCACCTCTTGTAATTGCAGAAGTCAAATGTGGCTTGTAGTCATCTTTTGTTATCAGTATATATTGAGTATTACAATTTTAATACAGTTTTTCTTTCTTAAAATGTGTATACATTTTTGGGCACCCTCTATATATAAATTATATATATGATACCAACTGATAGCAATTATATAGTACACAGATACTATATTATTTATGACCTTTGTTATAGTAATTGTAAATGTGAACTTAATCATGCAGATTTGCATTCAGTTTTTCCAGCATATCTTTGGAAGTTCAGGGAATTGAATACTGACTTAAAAAGACTGGTTGAGATAATATCACTTTCATATATATATATCAGATAGAACTCACTTCCGGGATTAATAGTGCCTAATGACGAGCATGACAGAATCACTCCCAAAAATTTTTCTAGCAACAATGAATTTGTAAGTCTTATTTTAGTTGAACATAATATAAAGACCTTATTGAGGTGCAATTGTATGATGTTGCTTTGTGTGTGAAAAGGTTGTTAGCTCCAGAGTCAAAGATATAAAAAATAGGAACATTCATGAACCAAAAATTTATCCCTGCTGTACTACCTTTTGTTGCCTAAATCTTTCTTTAGCTAAACAAAAAAGAAAAAAAGAAGAAAGTTTTCTTCTATCAAAAAGAGATAAGTTTACGATCATTAGAAAGTGAAAAGAATAATATCAACCAATGAAGGACTTTATTTAACACCAAAATGTATTGATTCAACTGTGATTGGTTAGAAAATCACTGCATTGTAGGATTATAATTTGATATTGATTATAATATAAATGCTAAAGTAATGGCAACTTAAGTCAGAGAAAGCCAAATATCACTATAAGGTCTCTCTTGTTATTGACTTGAATTTTCATCCACTAATCAGAAATTAACCAAATTTTATGGTTGATATAAACTACCTAAAATATTTGCTATATATAATAAATACTATAATGGTATTATTATAATACACAATTATTCTTGAGCAGCTATCCTCCAAGGATTGAGACAGGAATGTGCATTACATCCATTTTTTTTCTCAGTCTATTTCGTATATTTAAAGGTACATTATTGATTCAAAAATCCTCTGGGAAATACTTCTTTCTTATGAGACTGCAAGTAATTCTTGCTTGTGTCCTCACTCTGTACAGAAAAAAAAAAAAAGCAAAAAGAAAGCTCGCAAAGAACAAACAAATTATGGATCACATTCTAGAGCCACTATACGCTATTAGATTAACAATCGACCTGGAAAAGACAAAGTACATGTATCTGACTTCACCAAGGGATGAGGGAAATATAAAAATAAAACCAACAGCCTGCACACTTCCTAATCTTTAGTATGACTAGAGCGGTGAAGCTTTACTGAAGTTAAGGACTTCTGTAATATACTACAAACAAAGCACTAATGAGGAAAGAGTTATAATTGAAACCTACATGGTTATCAAACTTTTGGGGACTCAAAAGACCCTGTTACACTCTTCAATATTATTGAAAACTCAAAAGCTTTTGTTTATGTGGGCTATCTACATCCACTTATTTTTACCATATTAGAAATTAAAATTGAAAGCTTTAAATGTGTATTTATTATTTTTTGAAAGTAACCACAATAATCCCTTTATATGTAGCCATAAATAACATATTTTTAAAGCTGTATTTTCAAAAAACAATGAGAATACTCACGTCATTTTACATGTTGCAAATCTTTTTAATGCCTGACTGAATAGAAAATGCTGGAGTTCTATCTCTGCTTCTGCATCGAGTTGTTGTGACATAACTCGTGACATCGTATGTCATGTAGCTTGTCGAAAATTGCAGTCCACTTTTGTGAGAATCCAATCTGTGAGTCTGAGAGCAAAGAAACACAAATGGCATCTTAGTATTATTATGAAATAGATTTGACTTTGCAGATCTGGGAAAGGATCAACTTTGAGAACTGCTCTATTAGAAAATCAAATTGATCTCTTAGCAGGCTCATGGAATCATAGAATATGATTTCACAGAAAACTGAAATTTAGCAATATTTCTTACAATATAGATTTCAGAAAACATGAGGACAGTAATAAAATTCTGGTTATTTACCTTTCACCAATTGTTTTTTGGTCCCACCAATGTTTCAAGGAAGAAATAATGATAGTTATAAAAATAGTAACAGTTATTGTTTCTTGAAATCTTACTATGGGTCAGTCCCTGTGCTAAATGTTTTACTTTTTCCATCCCATTCCATTCTTAGAATAGCTATGTAATATAAGTATAATTATTATCTCTGAACTTCAGATGGGGAGATTATGACACAGACCGAATAACTTTACCCTGGTACATCAGTAAGCTCTTTAATCACGATTTGCCTCAGAGCTGTCTGAATCCAGAGAATGGAGTTGATGTCTCTTTGTTGCATTTCCACATTCAAAAAGAAAACATAACAAAATGCATTAGGGTGTAGAAACTTAATAGTTATAACAAATATACAAAATACATTATTGCTTCAGTATGAATAAAGCTAAGGAAGGTTCCCAGTGAAAATCTGCTTTTGTCTTTAAATTACCAATATTTCCACCATCACGTAATTTATAATGTTCTCTGCCCAGTATATTTAAATAAATGTAAACATGTACAATATTATAGCAGCAAATTTAAAAAAATAAATTTGCATCGTATGTTCAGATCATAAATTCTTTTGCTGAAACCCAAACATAACTTTTGATGAACAAAATATGTCTAGCAAAAATAGTAAGTGGCAAAATACACCTCTTGGAGTTGGGAAGGGAAGAACTCATAGATGACTCCAAAGGTGTAGGTCAAGTTTTATTTTATAGGAGAGTGATTGATACATAGTTGTTCACTTTATAATAATTATTATTAAGTAATATATTTGTGTATGGTATTTTGTAGGCATGACTATTTCATAAACCCATAGGTGTTATTTTCCCACTGAAAACAATAAAATGCAAAAAACAAACTATACCTTGCTTCATGATATCTGTATTTCTTTGATAACTTGTAACCTGGAAAGTAGTTTATGCTTTCTAAAAATGCTGATGTATGATTCATATGTTAAAAAGCAAGAAAACGCTCTCTCAGACTTGAAAGAGTGATTTGGATGGATTAAGTGGGCTTTAGAAGAAAATATAGCACAGACATTTCATCACTGCCATAATGCAGTGAGATCCCACAAACTGGATTGTGTACAGGATATGGTAACTTAACAAATAAGTAGGGCAGAACGTTTTTCAAGACACTTTGCAAACAGTCTGGATGTAGAGTAGTGTTGGGTTCAAACATAACTCAGAGTCCTGATTGCGGAGTACAATTTTGCAGCAGCTGAAGGAGAGGAGCGTCAAAGGCATTCAAAAATGTTATGGGCATATTAGTCCGAGGAATACAATCAATAACGTTGTAAGCATTTCTTAGGGGGCCAGATGGACCAATGCCCTTTTGGGGAGTCCACTTCATAGTTGATGTAGAGGCCTGACCACCGCATTGTATTTCTGAAACTGATGTTGA